TCGAGCTCTTCAAATTTAATGTGAAATTATATTGAGTTCAGATATACGTTTTAAAGTTTCATCAACAACAGCCTAAAAATCACTGACTTAAGGCCTTTTCTCACACGGAGGAGGTTTGAGCATTAATCACCACGCGTGTTCAATGCGGGATGGCGATTTCAAACTTATAATCCTTTTAAGTTTCTGGAACAACTAATTAATGAGAGCTGATCACTTGACCTGGGTCATAGCATTTTATTTTAAAAGTAGTTTATAGCCATTTTACCTGCTTCATTAATAACTTAATTAAGTGGCATCATAAAAATTAACTACGCTAGCAATATTGCTAGAAAGACATCTGTTAGAATATTTCAAATTACAGTGTGGATTTCAGAGATATTTATTTACGTACAACACATTTTTTTATTCTTTATGTTTATCATTTTATTCGTTTTTTAATATAAAACGAACAAATAAAAGGTTCGTTTCAAAAATCGATATCAAGAATTTACGTAGAAAAAGCTGAAAGTGAATTCATTTGAATCGAAAGGAGTTTTAGGCTTGTTTGATGAATGAAAACTTTTTGTGGGAAAGGAACGACTCCATGATTTAAATTACTTTTAAAGATACCAAGTAACGTTGGTCTCCTGTTCAATTTTAGCGCAAAAAGGAGTTAAAATCTTGTCAACTTAAACGTAACCAGTAACAGTTGTTTGAACAAAGTTTTGCGATAACTTTGTGGTTTTAACTCTCAGCTACAAAGACCTGAAATTTCTAGTTTTTCTTTCCACTTTTTTATTATAAATGTAATTATCTTCTGGCCTGGATTTTGTTCATTGGCGATGTGTAATAAAAGAAACAAGACATGGAAACTAAGCATAAAAATTAGGTATAAACAATATATGAGGAATACAAACGATAATTATCAATTCCAAATATTAGTCAAGATTATCTTCAATCCAGTCAAGCATTCAATTTCAAGAAATTATTTCCATTACATTTTTTCTGAAAGCATTCTTGTCTATTCACACAGAAATAATGGTGATAAGTGAGTATAGAATGAGATGTGAACAAAAATTATTTATAATACGGCGTAGGGTTACCTCGAGAAAATTCCGGAGTTCTCATGAGAAGATTGAAATATTTTGTTCTCATTATGACAACATGTCTCACTCAAGTCACGTAAATCGAGAAAATTTCTATCTTCATTTAGGACATTTTGCGTCATTTTTGTGGTTTCACGCTAGGTTCCACGTGATGTTACTATAAAAGGTTTTATTGTGCTGTTTTGTTGTACTTGATATTTGTTACAGGTATCTGAACTTCAGATCATGTTATGTTTTTTTGAATGCCAACGTAGCTTATCGATAAAAAAAATTAAAATGTATAAAATATCAACGTTATGTGTGGAAGTATTATATAGAATGCAGTATAAGTATTAGTAGATTTGTCTATATCACCATCTAATTCCAAAGCAATATTGATTTTCCTTATTCCATATTGTGCTCGGAATGTAAAATCACTCATTTCCCTTGGCTAAGAAATCTTGAAGGACGTTAAGCCAAATTCGAATAGTCACTTCCTTGCTTCATTGAAACTTTACCCTTATTTTGCAAACTTTTAATGGAGTAATTCGATTTCGAATTCCGTCATTCGATTTTTTGAATTCTGTAATTGATTTCGTCCCCTGTTTTATGTTCTAACTGTTCGAATTATGTTAAGTGTGCTGTTCAAAGACGGACCTCCAGATCCAGGGGATAAAGGACTTTAAACTAAATAAGTCAAATGCTATTTAGTCGATTTTATCAATAAGACTTCCAAGACATGTTTTAATCTAACATATATAACTTAATATTTTTTTTATACCATGACGGAGGCAAAAAAGGGCATGACCCACCTAATGGTGATTAGTTTACATGGCCTATGATTGCTAGCAATACTTGGGTTAATATATGCGCCTTGCTGTTCCTTAAAAAACCTTTTTATCCTATTTACATTTTATATTTGTTTATTCACTATGATCCTTAGATACTTACTTACTCAACTCTCTTTTACGTTCAACTCCAACTATTCCTGCTATTGTACTAGCAAAATTTTCAGTTTACCCATAACCCATGCCCATACTATTTAATAAAACAGTACATAGTGAGTACCGCCTCTTTGGCCGAGTGGTCGCAACTGCGACTACTGGGCATGGGCAAAGTACCTATTACTGGGTTTTTTAAATAAATCTTATGAGTAGTACGAAGTCTGAAATTTTGCCCGGTTTATGGCAATAGGCTCACCCCCTATTTCGCAGGACTCATAACATAGATAGTAAAAAGTGGGTGTTACATTGTACAGTGGTAGTAAGTGCCATAAAGTGCACCTCTGTCTACCCCTCCTGAGATGAAAGGCGTAATGTAGTAAGGAGTAGTAAGACTATGTTTGTGCCATGATTACCATCCGTCTCCTTAAATTATCTTGTAATATATACTTACGACATGACGTCTTCAGTTAATTCCACTGTCGAGACATTTAAGCCTAGACATATGGACCACCACAATAAATCCTAGCGCGATAACCGGGACTGATAGATTTACGCGATTTCTGAGTCAGATAGAAGAAAAAAACCGCACACTTCTACAATAAAACTGGTGTTGTGACTTATTGATATAATAAATACTGAAGAAACCACTGAAGCGCTTAAATATATTTTGTTCATTTTCTATACTACTATATTCATCGTTACTTATACCATTATCTTTCAAACTTTCCCGAAGATTTTCCCAATAACATTAAATCACTATAAGATGCTAGTGCTACTGACGCTCTTCCGTAGTTGGTATAAGTTTTATCGAAAAAAACTTCATATAATGTGGATCCATAAAATATTTACGCCTAGCGTACATTGTTAACTGTAACTAGATCCAAAAATTTCGTGATCAGATGCCTATTTAATCAAACAAAATCTACTTCACAAAAATTCTGTTTCAGTTAAAACGTTCAGGCTGATTGCATAGCCTGATAAAGTTATTTATATTCTATCCTCGGTTATTTCCTCGTGACCAGAAGGGATCGTTTGGATTATCCTCAATATACGTATACGTGAGATAAATGACGTGGCTGGTGAAAGATTTTATCCCAAAAGACACTTACTTATGCAGAACATGAGCGCCATTAATCCGGCTTTTCTGAGTACTACTTATACTTAATCACTTTCTGCGCCCAACCTATCTAGATAAGTTTCAGAAAGGACATAATGTTGTTGAAAAGCAAGCAAATTGTCCATATAATACACTCTTCACGTGAAACCCAAACTTATTTGTTAAACTGTTCTATTTTTAAAATATTTGTATATTTCGATACAATTTTCGTATATACGAAGAGTACAATAACTCTTAGTTTTTCTCGTCCCAAGTATCAGTTACCAGTTTTAGTGATGAGAATCGTTACTGTGTGATAAAGTGGTTCAGCACGGGTTTTCCTGATTCTAGTTTTGATTTATTTGTTCCCAATCCTTTCATATTTGTCTTCCTAAGTTTCAAAATCATATTAACGGAAAGTCATACTTTATATCGAACGAAGACTAACTGATTATGTTCAGTTTTTTCATATTCAAAAAAGTCGACCATTCCAATGAGTGAGGGACTATTTCAATTTATTGTAACCATATACCATGTGCATATATTGCCTTGAAGATAATGTACTCCAGTACTTACTTTTTCAATGATATAGTAAATTGTTTTATTAAGTAAATCCTTTTTATTATGGAACTGTAAAACTTTATGCTAGCAATATTAGTGTCAACATTATCATTGGCCAAGTAGTAATTAATGTTCCTTTTTATATGGAAAGTAGTCGATGTTGTATCGATTTATTAAATAAAACTCTCCCTAAATAGTGATAGTTTGTTCCAGTTGACATTCATTCCACATTATAATGGGTGTTTGAATAATATCAGATATTAAATATATGGCAAAACTTTTGTAATTCAGAAGGGATACCTTCTCCTTGGTGATAACCAATCCGTTTATGATAATAATATACGTAAATGAGATAAGTTTCTTCATTAAATCGTATTGAAAATAATATCCGTTACCAACCCTGTGATAAAACTTTGAATCGTGTTTGATGTAGGATTTCAGGAATAGTATTTGAATTGAAACCAAAAATAAAAGCTTCATAATAAACTTTAATAATTCTACTAATCTCAGATCACAACATCGAATGGCATTAGGCTGTGTACACATCTAAATACGAATGCTGATCATTCAAGCTGTTAATTATATTTTAAATACAAAATCGATTTAAGACCAGGATTTTCGAAATAGAGTTTAAGCGAGTCAGACGTGCTCTTGTTGTATTATAAAATGATTTATCATTTCAAGAATAGAAATTTGATCTTCTGTATATAACTTGATCTGTTCACAATGATTACATACTTAAATAATTATAGTTGCAAATACCCTGGCTTAAGCATCTAATTCCATCCATATACTAACTATAACACTTAGAGTAACTGTCCAGATTGTCATGTCATTCGACGAATGCATACTTTACAAACAATAGCTGGTCTACAAATAATATATGCTGCATCTTGCTTAGAAACAATGAAAACTGTCTATGAAGCGGCAGCGGCAAATCAGCCTATGGACAAAGACGAATGCGTACATTCGTTAAATGATGCAACGTGGACAGTAACAGTAGGCCTTACTTTAATGCCGCGTGCTGTGCATTTCACTCAAGTATTTACATCATAAATTATTTGTGTATCTAGATGTGTAATCACCCTCATATTATTAGAAAACACTACAACGACATCGTAATCAAAATATGTACACTATATACAATACTAAAATAGTTACTTAAATTATTACTTCATTACTTAATATTTACACTTAAAAGTCTGCGTAATTAAAACGACTTCTCATTCTCTGTCTTTCAATACACACAACACAAGTGATTTGTCGGTTTGAGTCTATATGCATTGTCTCTTCAGGTATTGTTAGTACCCGATTGTTCACAGTTTTCCGTAATGGTTATAATAAACTGACATTATGACCATTGGAGTACTTGGTTGAGGACCTCATTGAACGGTTGTTCATCGTCAGTCGGATCGAAGAAGTGTTGTTGTCACCACGTCGAAGAAGCGATGCGTGATGGCCACCGGATTCCCTGTAAAGAAATTAGATGTTACAATTCTTGCAATTGATTTATATTTTACGCCGTAAACCGACAACGTTAAAGTTGCAAGCTACCGATAGATGCAAGTGGCAGGTGGTTGTTTTATGTGCACGACTAGGCTGGATAAACGAGGTGCCTGTTCGGCAGTGCACTTCTTTTGGCTTACATTGATAAATATTTAAGTTTTACAATAAAATTCATGTAGCCTACTTTCCATTAAACACGATATACTTATATCTTTGCTAGTTTGATATTGGATATTTTACGTATTATTAGCTTTTAAAATACCCTGCGGGTGTTACAAAACTTTTGGTAAGTTTCGAAGTCCGTAACAACTGTCACGATTTTTGACAGACAGGACCGACAACTTTACTGGCACATAACATAATGCTTTAGACATAACAACAAGTTGTTTTTCTTAAAATGTTTTTGAGTGGTGTTTTGCATTGTGTGTTATTAATATATTATTTCAAAGTGTTGAGAAACCAGGACCAGACGGTTTAATTCCATTTAAATACATTCAAAAAATTTACGAACCTATGATCTAGAAAAGTCCACAAAGAGGATAATGTACGCTTTCAACATTATATATTAAAAAGTAATCGAGCAATACATTCATCCAATTATTTTCGAATATCTAGAATACTTTTCTAAATAATTGAATGAATCCAATCCATGAAGGTCAGATTAGACCAAAATGGGAGACGGGATTGACAACGTTTCTCAGTATTTAATAAAGGATAATTTATTTATTTGGTATATATATTTATTAGGGAAAATTCTAAAAATGTCTACATAAGCATTGGATTATGTGATGGCAAAAACTGCTTCTGATATGTCGCGTATACCAAGAAATCCGTAATATGACCTTTATCAGACAGTATTAGGTCGCATTTGAAGAATATGCAATAAAACAAAAAGAAGATGAATAGACATATGAAATGCGTATACAACATTAGACTTGTTATATTGGGTGAAATCGGTGAAGTCGGTGAAGTAGGTTATTTACGTCATCCTAAGTATTTATAAGTTGCATATGACCAACAATAATCTGCATACATTAAATGAATCACCGAAATAAATACTCACGAAAAAATTCCTATATCAAATTAGAAAAGTCTTTTTTTAACAAAGTTTGTAAGTAAAAATATATGTTGCTTGGTAGAGTAAAATTGTTTTAAACCCACACAGTAACCTACTCAGTAATACGCAGTAAAAACAATATAATGTGCCTAAAAATAATCAGCTAAAACCCTCACATATTCCGACAGCCTATCAAAAGCGAGTCAACTTGTTTATCTTTAATTAAGTTCAATGTGATAAAAATATCAAGGAATAACATCAAAAGAATTTCTCATACTAAAAATTTCAAAGGCCGAAAATGGTAAACAATTTTTCATAATGTTATTTGGAGACGACCATTTTATTCGAGGAACCTTGCGTGTGTTCATAAAGGCTATTGTGATATTGTGACAAATCTTTTCATCATTAATAATCCTCACAAATACGGTTTTCATATGAGGATTTTCAAGGTTTTTCTTGGGCAAAATACCGTTAACGTTTCCGTCACTTATTTCAATTGATGGTGATTTTATTGTCGGTATTAAATAATTTTGTCTTTGACTTAGTACATTCAGAGAACTGCTAAACATTATTCCTTTAGTTGCGTGTTTAAATTATTGTATTACGGTTATTCTAGGAATGGGTTCAATAGTAAACACACTTGTCTGCAGAACTGAACACTTTAGTTTAAGGTAAATTTATTCCAAGATATAATCGTTCTCGAAATGGTGTCTGTATATGACTACATTGAACGAATGACGTCACGTTTATTACTCCGAAGGGGTAGCTATTGGTTCCAATGTATTTATTGTTCTAACTAAATGTATTATATCGTTTTATTGGAATTTGTAAACCGTTATGGAGCCAATTTTATAGGTGTAGACTAGACGCAATTTTATATTGTGTACTTATCAGTGTGCGACAGTGCGGTTCGAAGTTCTATTAGCACAATTGGTACAATGGGTCAAATAGCGTTAATCCAATCAATAGAATTGTCAATGTATGGGCTTGACACAAGTATAATTTATCAACCGTCAATGTCATTCCCATAAAGAGAAGTTTTTTATTCACTTGATTAGAGTAGGAGAGTAGACTAGCTCGGAAGATAAATCACCTTTAGTGGAAGAGAAACTCACTTTCTAAAACCAAATACGGAATATATAAAAGTTGTATTGTATTTAATGGTAATAAAATATATGTAAGAGGAATTTTGGAATTATTTACTGGTTTTTATATAACCTCTTTAACAGGCTAAATTAAGAGCACGCGGAACTTTTACATTGAAATCCAACCTCCACCATTGAGTATGTTTTCAAACTTCAAAGATGAAAGAACAAGTCTTTTGATCAATTACCCAAATACCCCGAAGTGTTTTAGGGGTAACTCGGTGACTTTTGTAACTATGCCGTGTAGGATTAACCCAAATCAGATTATTTCTAGAGAAGTACTCCGAATGTTGTTTTACCTCTTTACTTGTTTGTGTATCTTTTGTGTTTAATTAAAGGTCATAAACGATAAGGAAAATGTGTACCGTTATTTTATTTGTATTAATTTCATTATTATTTTATAAGCTTCCAGAAATTTGATCTATTATAGCTGGGAGTATGAACGTTTTTTAATTCGACAATAACGCAAATGTAGTAAGGAAATTTTTTGTCCAATCACAGCAGCTGTCAAATATTGAACGTCCAATGGCGTAATACTAGCTAATTCCCAATTTGACGAAGAATGAAAGGTCACATTAGCGCCAGTGATGAGCAAATATACGGTAGACCCCATTGCGCCCGGTGTATAGCAATTGGCTTTTTTCTTCTTGCATGGTACTTATAATTCGACTGGTAAAAAGTGGGTGCTATATTCTGTAAGTACAAGTACGCGGGCATCGTTATCTAACCTTTCGGGGATAAATTTTCGTTTTCACCAAGTCTAAACTAGTTCATAACTAAGAATTACTTTGCGTGTCACAACAACTAAACTGACCTCTTACTAGTACTGTTAGGTGTCACTTATAGGTGACAACCAAAATGTCATTAAATGTCACCTATCTTAGCTAATGGGTCTTTTAAAATAAAATATATTTAATAAAATGGTCAAAATCGTTTATTTAACATAACATTATCTCGTCTTTTATCCCCGAAGAGGTCACCACTGCCATTGTACAACGTAACATCCACTTTTCACTATTTTATGTTATGAGTCCCATGTAATAGGGGGTGAGCCTATTGTCATATACCGGGCAGAATTCCAGACTCCGTGCTTTTTTTTAAAACCTAGAAATAAATTCCCCGCCCCGGGAGTCGAATCCGAGACCTTTTGCCCGGCAGTCGGACTTGCGACCACTCGGCCAACGAGGCAGTCATTTAGGTGCGTAGTAAACACGTATTGTAGTACTAACAATTAAGGAGTGTTTGACCTTAACAAAATTAATGGTCCGTAATAGAGAGGTAGTTTTACAGGTAGTGAAAAATTGAACAATGCTCACCTACGCAGTACGGACCTCTAAATTTGCTTGACCTCACTAATTTAGATTTGGTACATTTTGAATCGCTTAGACACCTCTTATTGTGTAATCTCTGAATTTAATTGCAAAGATGAGTATTATTTAATAGTAAGTTATTTTATGTTTGGGAACTGTTTTTGGTACAGAAAATTTAATCAATTTTAAAAGTGTATTTAAAGTAATAAAAAAATTTTAAGGCCTATTTTTCAATTATCAAAAGTATAATTATTTTTAAATATTTAATTATTATTTTTGACCCAGGAGACTACCCAATTCTTAACAGCGAAATATAATTGACATTTGACAGTTTTAGTATGGAAGAATTGCCAAACATTCAAAGTTTTAAATAATATATATTGTTCAGTTCAAAATTTATCTGACGTCAGAAAAATCGGTCCTTAGCTACGTTATAGTGAGTGTTATACATATTTAGTTATATTTTCAAGAGCACCTTGAAGACTTGACTTTGTCTTTGTAAAAGTCAACTATAAAATTATTTTTAACTCCATACAAAACATTTTGATTTCCTCCAATATTTCCTATAGCATTTCTTTGTATAGGAAGATCTATAAACAACAAAAGACCAACCGAACTCTCATCAATCACCACAGTATTAATAACATCAATTACCCAAGACTCACTATCTTCAAGGCTATAAATAGATCGGATAGCATTTCCCAAAGAGGCCAAAACTTGATATCTCAGGTGAAATGCTATGTCAAAATCTACACCCTGGCAAAGCCACAGTAACTTGTAATATTAAAACGTTGATTAACATATTGCTTCCTCGAAGTGATTAATCATTGACTTAATAAACAAAATGAGTTAACGAAGTACCAACAATGTGTTTATTTGGAGCATCGTTAGCGTAATTAGTAGAACTTTATTACAGGCGTTTAATTAAACAAAACTCATTTTTTATTTAAGTATCGCGGTTGTGTTTTCAGTAATTGTGAACCTTTTTTTTTATTAACCTATGAACTGTCGGAACCCAGATCTATGCGAGACACAATGTGTTTTCTATTGTATCTTATATATCGTCAGACAAGAGGTTAAGGTATGTTGATAAATAACGCTGATAAAAGATGATAAAATTGCTGTACACCGTATTATACCTAAATCAGCGAACATGACAAGCACCTTAAATGCAACACAAGATAATTATTTAATTGTGGCGCTTGTCATGTTCACCTACCAATTTAGGTTTGATACACTGTACAGCGATTGGGAAAATCTAAATATGTTCCTCAACTTTTGATGCTGAACATACCGAATTGATGTTTATTTTTTAAGTTCTTTTTTATACGACAGTGTTATCACGACACGCTTTCGCAGTTGAGTTACCCATGTAGTAGATAGTGAAACAATTGCCATTTAATAAGCATTACTCTAGACTCCAGGCTACTACCATTTTTTAAAACCATAATAA